ATATTCCTTTTGTAGTAGTATTGGTAATTTCTATTGCAAAAGAATTTCTACTGTGCTGGATGAATTCTACTTGTTGGAAGCAAATCATTATGTATCTAGCTGCTTGATTTTTTGCTCTGCTTCATCTGTGAAGCAGGCTGTACTTGAATTTCCTTCAGTTGCTGTGTCGTGACCCAGTGGCTTGTGTCCTTGCAATCAAATCATATAGGAGAGGAAAGAAAAAGATGAAAAAGAAATCAACAAAAGATGAAAATGGCTAAAAGAAAATATCCAAGCTGCATAACTAATACAGTGTGTCAAACTTCAGTGCTCAATAACTGTCTTGCATTATTTTCTTTCACTTACCTTGTGAACTGAAGTTGTTAGCTCTCTATGCAGCAGCTTTGTCTTCATGTTTTTCAGTAAAATATTTAGCACCCTCTGGATATTATATAAATTAAAAATAATAAAGTAATTAGGCCATTGTATACATGAGAAGATTTTTGCCTGTGGTATTTACATCTTGGCTGCAAAGAATTCCACCTATAATACGGTCTTCAAACCACAAGCATGCAGTATCAAGTTCATAACTGAACACAGCACTCTGGGATCTGATCCTGCAAGTCACTTGTGCAATTTTAATCATACGTATAATTCTATATTTTAACTACTAACAGGGGTGAACATGAGTTGTTTAATATGTGGGCTTGAATCTGAAAGTGTCTATATGTTATTTATTAAATAATTTTTAATATGACTAAGTCATAGGTCTCTTTTGATCAAAGAGAATTGTTTGGAACTGAAAAGTTTAAAATCACCTTGACTTCTGCCTATTTGATTAGATTTTGGATTGGGCTCTGTCATGGTTTAACCCCAGCTGGCAACAAAGCCCCACAAAGCTACTTGCCAGCTGTGTCACCTCCCAAAGTCTTGTGCATGGCCAGGCCACCTGAGGGTGGGGAGCAGAAAAGACCTTGAGGTTGTATGAGCACTGCTCAGCAGTAACAAAAGCATCTTTGTGTTATCAAGGCTGTTTGCAGCACAAACCCAAAACATACACCCATACAGCCACTACAAAGACAATTAACCCTATTGCAGCCAAAACCAGCACAGACTCTAAGCAGACAACATGCAATATGAAGAATAGGATCCAGACAAAAAAAAAGTGATTAAGCTGAGAAAGTAGTTCACATTTTTCTTGTTTGATCTTTTGTTGATTTTTCCCTTCTTCCATACAATCTTGCTTTCCTCCCTCTTCTGGTCTGTTGTATTTGCACTTGGTAGGTTGAGGGCTTATAAACATCTCATCAGAAAAATGTTGGAAGGAGGGTAAGGAGTCAGTAAATGAAGAGTGCTGGGTATAGGGGAGCCTGTGAAAGGCATGCAGGTAAGAATGGGAGGCACACAGGAAGGTTAGTTAGGCTGGAGGGTTTCAGTCTTTTTCCTTCTGTTTTTTATTACAGTCTTCAAGAATGTGTAATTTGAGTTCGATATGTAGTATCGGTTTTGAGCTCGAAACTCCTAGTACCTTCCAGGATTGCATCGTATGTGACTTGTCTGTGTTTGGAATTATTCCAGATTTGCTGCTGCACTTGAAATTCATTCCCTGCCTTAATCCAAACTTAACTTTCAAGTGTAGACAAGCTGAAGAGTTCAACACTAACATGTACTTACCTTTGGCAAAAGTTTTGTGTGTTTGAGGAATGCTGGATCATTCAGTAAGGAATGTAGAATTTTACCTCATTAGTTTGTATTAATGAGTTATTTCCTAAGAAGCTTTTAATGGCTTAGTTTTATTAACTGAGCCTTCATATTAAAGGTTGCATGGCTAGAGTCATAGAACTGTAATGATGGAATTACTGCAGCATAAAAACTCATACCTAGTCAGTAACCTATGGCTAAGGCTTTTAGACCTTTCCTTTTCCTGCCTCCAGCTGCACAATAAAAACGCTTCTTAAATCACAGTTAATTTTAAATAATTGCATTTTACCTCAGAGAGGGAGAGAATGGGTGACCTGGGCAGTAACCACTCATCTGAACACACTCCTTGTGTTTGTTTCCAATTCCAAAGCAGTCTTATGTACAATATATCCTTGCAGGATGCTTATTAATCCATTTCTTTTTTTAAATGTAGTGAATTAGGATCTTTAATATTTTGTGGACTTTTTGAAAGGATTAATGCTTCTGTAGCACTTAAAGAACATGGCTGCTGGCCTGTTTTCTGGATACAGAACCTTGTGTTGACTTATTGTACGCATGATCTATAAATTTCAAAGCAAACAGTCAAACAGTTCTTAGAACAATGTGGTCTTTCCTATCTTTGATTTTTTTTAATTACTATTTCTTCATGCTTTAGTGTCTGGGGCAATCTTTTAGCCTTGACAAGATTCTAGACATTGTATATGAACTATTAGTCCTTACTAATGTCTGGGATCTTGAAATACTTTGACAAGAAAACATTTTCATACTAAATTGCTCATACATGGAAGTCTGTGCTTTCAGGAAGAGGATCTCCAAGTCAATCTGAGAATACACATTTTGCAGAGCTGTTGTACTCTCCATTTCTTTTGGTGAAATACTTCTTAATAGTGCTATAAATAGGCAAGTGATTGTCAGATGCATGCATCCTACAGCAAGTATTTTAAAGCCCACTTGTATTTATGGATTAATCATAAGAATATGTTCATTAGCAGGAAGTATATTCAGTGCTGTACCAATTACAGCACGTTGTCCGTAGCTCCATGTTTAGTTCCAAGGCCCCAGTCTTGCATCATTAGAGAAGGCAGAGAGGATTCTGAGTTTCTTAAATCTGAAGAAATTACCCAGGCAATAATCTGTTTAGTATGCTAAGATTTTGAGAACAAGTGAGCTTTAATTCTGTTGTTAATCTCCAGTGTATTAAAAAATGTTAGTTTGTGTGAAACTGGATTTCACAAGAAGCTGAACGCTGTGGTTTTGGTGCGATAAATCAGCATTGGTTAACTCTGAATACACTGAATGATGTTCAGTAGTGTCTGCTTAAAATTACGTGCTTACAGTTATTTGTTGGATCAGTGGTAACTGTGCTAAGCTGAGCTCCTTACTGGATATCCAGTAGGTTGGGCACTCAAGAACCTGGCTGATGCCCAGGCTGTTGTAAACCCTGAGTGACATGGGATGTGTCTGTACCTTACAGGATGATGTGAAGGCCTTAGTGATGATGGAGGCTATATATGCTGCTTATTACTGTAAAGATCTACAATACTATAATGAAAAGCTGAGAGAGCTGAGGTTGTTCATCTGGGAGAAGGGAAGGCTCCAGGGGGACCTTATTGTGGCCTTTCAATACTTAAAGGGGGCTTACAAGAAAGATGGGAACAGACTTTTTTGCAGGGCCTGTCGTGATCGGACAAGCAGTAAACTAAAAGAGGGTAGTTTTAGACTAGATATAAGGAAGAAGTGTTTTTTTACAATGAGGGTGGTGAAAGACTGTAACAGGTTGCCCAGAGAGGTGGTACATGCCTCATCCCTGGAAGGTCAGGCTGAACGGGGCTCTGAGCAACCTGGACTAGTTGAAGATGTCCCTGCTCACTGGGGGGATGAATGAGTCTACCTTTAAAGGTCGCTTCCAACCCAACTATTCTATGAATATACCCAAGTTGATATGCCCTGTCCCTGGGGAGGATTAGTTTATTCAGATTGGATGCTTCTGGCTTGACTAAAGTGAACTCAGCTGACTCTTCAGTGAAGGTTGGAGCTTTATGACCGTAATGTGAAATTAGTGCTTGAAGCTGGCCCTCAATTTTGTGTGTTTCATAGAAGTATCCTTCCCAAATTTCATGGGCCCGTGTAAATAAAAGCACCAATGAAAAATGTGCCAATGAAAAACTAACAAGTGCTGTTAATAGTTTTAACTTGGTGCATGGTTTTTAAGATAAGAACTGACATTTACTTAGGCTTAATTCTGAAAACCCTTAAACCTCTTGGAAAAGTGAACTGTCACAGCTTTCATACATCTTAGTGAGGATAATACATTACATTGCTGGATTAGGTCAATGCCAGCTAAGTGAAATAATCCTGCCCTGGATAAGAAGTTAATCACTAGATCAGCAAATACTTAAGAAGTAAGTAAAAATGTAAATTATGTATGTAATTGTCTTCCACTGCTGCAAGGATTGAACACTGCAGCTAAGATACAGGAATTTCCTTGTTTTTAATAGGAAATTGGGTGTTTTCTCTATATTCTGCCATGAAATGTAAACAAAAAAATTAATTGTTGTGTTCCTGGGTGAGCATTGTGAAGTATGAACTGTGGCCACGGACGCTTTGTACCTCACAGAGTTGGCTCCAAGGACAAGAGTCAGTTCTTTACCAACTTCAGTGAAAATGGTGAAAATGACTTGGCTGGGGTCAAACCTGTGTGTAAACAGTTGGATTTTGTCAAGACTTGTGCACACCTAGGACTTCACACACTTGAGCAGCTCTCATGGTTGCGCATGTGATCGAACCTCATAGTTTAATCTTTGTAGACTGGGACATAAATGACTATTTACAACAAAAACTATTGGTTTAAGTTTTGATCCCATTTTTAATCAGCCCTCTGGAATTTCAGCCAACGGAAATACAGCAGACACGCTATGCACTGAAATACATACGTAGCCCTTAGTGCTGTCTAATATTAATTTTCCTCTTTGTGGAAGGGACTTCCCCCGCCTCCACAGCTCCCTTTTGCATCCTACGTGTAGACTGAGAGTGATAAGAGAGGAGCACGACGTGCTCTGACACGCGCACGTTTCCAAACACTAAAAATAAACAGAAAATGGTGCAAGTGGGGCTTGGGCTGCCAACGAGCAGCCTGGACTCGTGTTTTACTTGTTCCTGCAGGTTTTATAAGCCTGCTCACTGAAACACTTAGTGTGGGCTAAGTGCTTTATTGCAGCCAACCTCGCTTTGCCTGTGAGGGGTCTCCTACCTGTGCACGTTTTCAGGCCTGGACTTCGGGGGTCTGGGCGCCGCCCGAGGCCCCGCCGCGTGCTGACGGGATGCGGGGAACGTGCAGCGGAGCTGCGGGAGAAGGACCGGGGCTGTGGGGCCCGGGGATGTTCAGGTGCGGGCCGGGGGCGCGCGCACCCGAACACCACCCCTGCCCCCGGCCCGGGCCCCGCGCGCGCCGCCGGCC